AGGAAGCGCTTATTCCACTGAGCCATCTCCCCAGCGCATTCTTCGGTTTTAGAGAACACGAACTCACCCCAGGTACCTCTCAGGTCAGGAGTTTCACTTCCCCTATATCACCGCCACACCTGGCTGCAATATGTGTTTCTACTTCAAAGCATTTTTTTTTTTACATTTACTATCTCATTTAATCTTTACAACAGCCTAATAGGGTAGACATCCTATTCCACTTTGTAGATGTTAAACATGAGGTCGGGAGAGGCCCCTTGATCTCCTAACAAGATGACACAACCTGAACCAGGCCCCCACATGAGGGTCCCCACACTGCCATCGCAGTAGTAAAGAGAAAGCTCTTAAGATTTCATCATCTGACAAATGAACAGAATCTGAGGTGTAAAATCAAGAACCCAGATGGATTATCTTGGCTATCAGAAAACACGATAGAAAACAACAACTAATTCAAACACCTTTTTGTCAGCTTGATCCCTGGAAGGACATTCTAACTAGTCTACTGCTGTGGATTGAGTATATACCCCAAATTCACATAATAAAAATGTAAGCCCCGAGGTGACTGTGTGGAGAGGTAGAAGATTTAAGAGTGACCACAGATCAGTGCCACTATCACACAGTCTGTCACCTCTAGACTGGCTTTGTTATGAAAGAGTTCAGCACTCTCTTGCACATATTTTCATGCTGATATTATGTCTCTCTCTCTCTCTCTCTCTCTCTCTCTCTCTCTCTCTCTCTCCTCTCTCTCTCTCCCTCCCCTTTTTTCTTTCTCTTTCTCTCTTGACTACAGAGCGGGGATGACACAGCAAGAAGGCTCTCCTTTCATGCTCTACTCTTGGCTTTCCCAGTCTCCAGAACCATGGACCAAGTAAACTCCTGTTCATTTAAAATTGCCAGGTCTGCAGGATTTGCTCCAGGCCAACAGCCCAGCTAGGCTTTATGTGAACTGGACTCATCCTCCTGGGAGGACAGCCCACCCCTCCAAGCCTCATCCTCTGGATACCAAAGGAGGAATTGCTCCTGATAAATCTCCAGATCAAAGATGCAGTCCTGGGGGGGCCTGGGAGATAGCTCAGTAGAATAAATGCTTGCCTGGCAAGTGAAAGGTCCTGAGTTCAATCCCTAGTACCTCAAAAAAAAAAAAAAAAAAAAAAAAAATGCAGTCCTGATGGCTATTCAGTTTTTCAAAACACACTCTAAGATTATAAAAGCAGCTAGGGATATAGCTTAGCAGCATAAGTACCTCCCTGGCAAGTGCAAGGTCTCAAGTTCAATCCCTGGTACTGTGGAAAAAAAAAAAAAGATTACAAAAGCAATGAGTAATTATTTCAAAAAAGAAACAAAACAAAAACAAAGATAATGCACTAAAGAAAAAAATTGAAATCACCTAAATCCCATCAATTAGAGATGAATGCAGTTAACGTTTTGTTATATACATTTCTGCCTTTTTCTAGTAATAAATACAACAGTAAGGGCTGGCCAAACAGCTCAGTGGATTAAAGTGCCTGTGTGCTAAGACTGTAATTGAGACTGGGCATGGTGGTGCATGCCTGTAATCCCAGCACTTGGGAGGCTGTAAATAGGAGGATCACTACAAGTCTGATCTACACAGTGAGACCCTGTACACCCTGTCCTAAAAAAATACAACCGTACAACCATCATGCCAAATTATCAGTAATCATTTTCCCCCCACCAAATACTTTATTTTGGACACAGCTCCAGAGCCATAATATGTCTACATTTTCTTTTTAGTGGCTGTCTAATAGTTTATTACTTGGGTTGCTATATTTGATTAACCCTGTTGCTAGATAGTTGAGTTCTTTCTTTCCATTATTAACCCTATAGCCACAACAAAACTCTGCCCACACATTTTTGTGTCCATGTCCAATTATACACTAAGTTCCCTAAAGAGCCTGTACTTTAGAGGCGTTTCTAATTCATACTGTAAATTTCTTTTCCAAAAGGCTGTATACCCTCCACCACTTGGGCATATGACGTCCTACTTCTCTATCCAGACTGTATATGTCCTTTACCAGTACTTTTATATTTCCTAAGAGCAAAACCACTAACAGAATAGTAAAAGGGGGTTGGGGTGCCTTTGGTTTGAGGTGGTAGCAGGAGGAACCAGAAAACAGTTGTGATTTCCCCCTTGACATGAGAATACCATTTGTGCACACATGTTAGAGGAGATTTGGCCAAAAGAGTTAAAATTAGGCCATTTGTGGCTGCCTGCTGCAACCCCTCTTGCTGCCCTACAGTCTCAGGAGGGTTAGAAACCAGGTATGAAGGGGCTGGGGAGATGGCTCAATGGAATAAGCGCTTCCCTGGGAAGCGCAAGGGCCTGAATTCAATCTTCATTTCTGCTAAAAAAAAAAAAAAAGAAAAGAAAGAAAGAAACAAACCAGGTATGAAAGGCCTGAGTTCTCAGGACAAAGGTTGTTGAATATGACTCTGTCTTGTGCAGTTGAAACCAAATAACATATACTAAGAGTTCTTTATCTTTCCATTTGATATCAGGATCTTCTTGTTGCTTTTTTTATGGAAAAAAGAAAACAAAATTTCATAACAAAATAATAGGAGAATAATGGTAGTCAATACACTGGGGATTGTAAGGAGACTTGAATGCTTTTTGGAAATCTATTCAAAACTCTCAGGAATTATTAAGAATCAAAGTCATAAAAACAGCCCGAGAGATAGCTCTGATGCTTAAGTGCTGGCCTGGCAAGCTCAAGGTCCTGAGTTCAATCCCAGGTGCCAAAAAAAAAAAAAAAAAATCTTAATCAAAGTCCTGCCCCTGGAGATTTCCCTGACCACTCACCCTGGTTTGTCGGAATTCCATTGAACTCCTACGGTTTTTGCTGCATGCTGACTTGTTTCAAAGCTAATCAAATGCATTGTTGTCTCATATACAATGTGTCATTTTTCTTCTTGCATCTTCTTTCCTCTGATGAAATACTAAATGACTAAAAAAATTTTGTTTAAAACTTCTTTAATCCCTCCCCGCATTCTAAGACTTTTCTTCTAGTTTGAAGCTCTTGTCTGGCCGGTTCCATCCTCCCGCACACCCTGACTTTCCCTGCTAGGTCCTCTTTTGCGTGATTTGACTTCAGGTTGCTCTCTGCACCTTAGCACACATTCCTTTGTGGTGAGGGACATTACCTTCCCTGTTAAAGTTTAGATAGTAGCAACACCACCGAGACATACCCAAGGACTCTGAAATTTGAGAACCAAACTCCTTAGAGTGAACTCCCACATTGGGCCAGTGAGGTAGCTCTGTGGTCTCAAATGTCTGCTTAGGCAAGCTTAAGCAAGCGCGCAGGGACCACGGTTTGTTCAGCAGCACCGCATGCCACGCCAGCCCTGCCCCCAGGGTGGGCTGAGCTGGCCACTAAAAATAAAAAATAAAAGTCTCTCACATTTTACCTACTTGCCCTGGAAACAAAGCCACACTGAAGCCTAATTAAGACCAAGAGGCAGATTCCTACCCCTCTTCCTCTGATTCCTTCTTCTTCCCAGGCCTGCACCCCCCATTCCTTTTCCACTAAGTGGACACTGAAATGACTGTTAGCTTTATTTTAAAGGGTATCATCCTGAGTCTACATTCTCACAGTCAATTTCTTGCTTTCCTTGCCTGATTTGCTGCAAGATAGAGGTTACAGTCTCTCCCTAAAACGTTTACCCCCACTTCAGTGTAGCTGCTTCCATGCGGTGGTACTTCGCGGCTTAGCTCCTTCCTGAGTCAGGGGGCTGCTGCAAGTCAACCGTGTTCAGTTTCTGTATCCGACTGCCCCTCATCAAGACTGGCATAGAAACCGAGACAAAGAGTACCCTCCACTAGAGCTTAAATACGCCAAGCAGGTATTGCACGCTGCTTCTACTGTTCATTTGATGTAAGATCCTCTTGCAGGCAGTGCCCACAAAACACACAGAACTTTGCACCTGACAGGCACACTCAACCTTTGTCCTGGGAACTCAGGCCTTTTACACCTGGTTTCTAACCCTCCTGAGCCTGCAGGGCAGTGAGGGGGGTCGCAGCAGGCAGCCACAGATGGCCTAGTTCTAACTCCTCTTTTGGCCATATTTCCTCCAACACACGTGTGCACGAAGGATATTCTCGGGTCAAGGCGGAAAACACAACTGTTTTCTGATTTCTCCTGCTACTGCCTCGTACCAAAGGCACCCCAATTTTCCCAGTTTTCATAAACGTTTCCATTTCTAATGATTTTTCCAAAAGAAATATACAAAGTGAGAGTCCAAAGCCCACTCCTCAGGCAAAGCGCGGTAGTACACATCCTCAGCGGAGGAGGGGCGGGAACGCGGACTACACTGAAGAGGTCCTGGCTGGAGGCGTGGGAAGCCCCGCCCAGGCTGCGGCCGCGCTCTGCCCCGACCCAGGCCCCGCCCAGGCCCCGCCCTACCGCCTACGTCAGTTGTTATGTCTCCGTTCTGGCCGCGGCCGCAGCGCATCTATTGCTCCGGGGGCGACGGCCGCGGCCTAGGGAGGCGGCCCGGGCCCCTTGCGCCGCCCATCGGAACAGGACGCGCGCTGCGTGGCCGGGAGGCGGCCCAGCCCCTTAGTCGCGCGGCGAGTAGTCTCGGGGCCTAATTTTTGCTTTTTTATCTCTGGCACCCTCGCAGCGCCGCGCTCTCTGTTTCTCTCTGCGGAGCCCGCGACGCTCCCTCCCGGCCTCCCGCCCGCCTGAGACTGAGGCGCCGCCCGAGCGACCCTGGAGCCGCCGCTCGGGTCGCGCTTGTGGCCGTGCCTGGGTGGCCGGCGTGGCCTGGGGCCTGGGCGCTGCGGCGGCCGCTCCTCCCCGCGCCCGGCGCGCTGGGCCCCGGGCCTGGCCTGGCGGAACGCCGCGCCCTCCTGACCGCCGCTGCCTCCGGGCCTTCGCGCCCCGTGGCCCGCGTCGGGTTGGGTCGCTGCCCTCCCGCCGAGATCGCGGCGCTGCAGGCCGGGGCCCGCCGCGTTCGGGGCTTAGGGGACGGGGCTTGGGGAGCGTTTCTCCCTTGTTTTTTTCGCCTCCCATCAGGAAGGCGAGACGAGGAGGAGGCTCTGCGCCTCTGCCACTGTCGTCCCTTCCTTGACCACTCGGGCCGACGCCGTGGTCCCCCTTACCCCGCCGCGGACATGGCCCGCAGGTGACCGCCGCCCGCGAGACGCTGCCCTCCTCGACCCGACCTCCTCTCACCCCTCCACCTTCCGGGCTCTGGCAAGAGAGAGGAGACACGCCAGGGAAGATGTGGCTGAAGCTGTTTTTCTTGCTCTTGTATTTTCTGATCCTGTTCGTCCTGGCCAGGTTTTTTGAGGCCATTGTGTGGTATGAGACCGGCATCTTTGCCACTCAGCTGGTGGATCCGGTGGCACTGAGCTTCAAGAAGTTGAAGACGATTCTGGAGTGCCGGGGACTGGGCTATTCGGGGCTGCCCGAGAAGAAGGATGTGCGGGAGCTGGTGGAGAAGTCAGGCGAGTGTCGGGCTCCCCGGGTGCCTCCCAAGTGGGCAAAGGGGCGACCTGTACCCGCTCCCACCTTGCTCCGCCTCCAGAAAGAGGGTGTCCGCAAGGTTAAGCAAACTGTGAGAAGCTGCCCGGGTGTCTCGGTTTTGCTTTGCTTTGCTTTGCCTTGTCCAGGTTATTTTTTGAAGTAAAGTAGTTGAATCCTAATGGTTTCAAGAGGCGCCGTGTAATTACTTGTCAGAAGTGTATGCCTTTTTAAGGTTATTTTTAAGTGACGGTTTGAAAGTGTAGCTTTTTAGCATTGTTCCCTCCATGGAGTGATTTTTCTCAAAATTTGGGAAAGTCAAACTGGAAAACATTATCAGTTGAAATTCATAAAAACACAGGATAAGAGAAACTCCAAAACATAGTGTACTTAGTCATGATTGCCACTATAGAAAAAACAAGCTGCTCACAGGGAGAAGCAGTTGGAATACTCAATACCAAAGAGGCATTTGGGTGGCACAGTGTAAGTTTGGGTAGGGTTTACATTGTATTATTCACTTTGGTGAAAATAGGTGTCTTGGTGTGAATGCCCTCCGTGTTTGTTTTGAGCTTGTATTTGTCAGTTTACATTTTTTTTGTATTTTGAATGTAAACTTTGTTTTGGTCATGTGTCAGAAGCATCCTGCATCACTTAATGGTCTGAGGGATGAATAGGAATGAAACTACTATGCTGATGTGTAATACCTTGAAAAATGTATTTATAGTAATTTGGTTTGGGTGAGAAATATAACTTTTTTACTGCTGGACAAAGTATTTTTGTTTAAATGTACTTCATGAAGGAGGAGTGTAATTTGAGAAAGGCATTATGGACTGCCATAAGAAGGAGTTGAAACTGATGGTTTTTGTTTCAATTCTGTTAGCCTTGTCTTTTACAAGACCATTTTTTCCTCTAAGTACTATCCTGTAGTCATATAGTGTCACAGACAAGAAAAACTCTTCACAGTTTAAAAGTTGGCTATTTGTAGCTTAAGGGCTGTAACCCTCATTTCTTACTACTAAGGTGAAGAAAAGGAATGCTTTCTGAAAAAGTGATGCTTTTTTTCTTTAGAGAAAATGTAAAATCATGTATTATTCTTGCCCCTTGTCTGCTGACTGGTTTATGGTACTTTTAGTTCTACCACAGGGGGGAAAATGGAGTAGCTAAAATCAATTTCTAAATCTTTTACATCAGAACATATAAACCATATTGTTTAAAAGCTCATGTGAAGGGCCAGCAAATTAGCTCAGCGGACCAAGCACCTGCTTAGGCAAGCACAGGGACCAGGGTTCAACCCGGAACCACATGCCATGCCACCCCGCCCCCACTGAGCTGGTCCATGAGACCAGCGGTAGTGGTGCATGCCTGTAATCCCAGCTCTGGGGAGGCTGAGAACAGGAGAATCACTATGAGTCTGAGCTTCATAGTGAGACGCCGTACCAAACACAGAATAAGTAAATTAAATAAATAAAAGCTCATGTGAAACTTGAACTTGCTATACATAAAGCTGAATAATTAAATGTTGAACATTGTTGTACTCTCAGTTACTCAGGAGGCAGAGGCAGGAGGATCCCAAGTTAAAGGCCAGCCTGGGCAACTTAGTGAGAACCTGTCTCAAAAACAAAAACAAAACAAAACCCATGTGTGGTGTCATACCTTTTAATATCAGCACTGAGGAGGAGGAGGTTAATGCTGTAGGGTCTGAAGTTAAAGAGCAGCCAGAGGTACATCATGAGTTCAAGACTTGCCTGGATTACATACTGAGGCTCTGCTTCAAAAAACGAAATAAGGGTTGGGGATACAGCTCAGTGTCAAGGCCTTGAGTTCAGTCCCCAGTAACCTCCCTTCAACAGTCCTAGCCTGCTCCAAATAAAAAGGGCCGAGGATGTAGCTCAAAGTTCCCTGGATACAATCCTCTGGAGCATTAAAAAAAAAACAAAAAACAAAAGCCAAAAAACCAAAGGAACAAAAAATAGTATGATGATGACTTTTTGGATTGGTACAAATTCAGTAATTTCTATGTGATGGCTATGAGTGGTAGCATATACCTGCAGTGGTGGACTGAGGCAGGCGGCTTGCTGCAAGTTTGAGGCCGGCCTGGGCAACACAGTGAGTTCAAGGCCAGCTTAAACTACATAGTGAAACTCTCTCAAAAAAAATTATGCAAATCCCTTACTAGAATATAAGGTCTGTATTCTCTGAGTTGGATTCTTGTCTTTTTTTTTTTTTTTTAGTTTGTGTATCACATGGTAGTTTCTTACTACATATTTGTTGAATATATGAATCCTAAATGGGTGTATTCTAGTATTCTTTACAGAGTGAAGTGAAGCAGCTCCAGTTTGGAGCATGGGATTTTTTAAATCTTACATGTTTTTTCCTTTCTTCAGGTGACTTGATGGAAGGGGAGCTCTATTCTGCTCTCAAGGAAGAGGAGGCCTCAGAGTCTGTTTCTAGCACCAATTTCAGTGGTGAAATGCACTTCTATGAGCTTGTAGAAGACACAAAAGATGGCATTTGGCTGGTTCAGGTAGCAGAAACTGCCTATTCTTGTTATTTTGAGAACCTTTGAAAGAAATTACTTTTACCCAAATGGTATCTAGGTGGTGACGGTTCTGTTTACTTGTGTCGTGTTTGTTAGGCATAACTCAGTCCTGAGAGGAAGACTCTAATGTCTCCCTAAAGAGGTTTTTGGGTACCGAGATAAACGGATGTTCAAGAGCAGAAAAGGAAAAGTTGGGGAAGGGGGATAATTTTTTTATTTACAGTCAGCAGAAGCACATCCATGTCACTTGTGGGGTTTGCATTCATATTGTGTTCCTGTTGTTCAGTGATGTGCATTGTGGCTGTCAATTTCTACTAGTTTTGAGTTTGGCAGCTCAGATAATTTTTGTGCCTAAGAGAAGAACCTAAAATAAAAGTAAAGGAGTCCATGTATTTGGTAAATAACCAACTTTTTGTCTGTAGGGGAGGAACTGTTGTGGACAGTGATAGGAAATATGCATTATTTTGCTTATGACAATGGAATAATTTTTGACCCAAGTTCTTATATCAAAACTGATATTTAAGTAGTACATTAGAATTTTAGAGCCAGAAAGTCCCTTAAAAGTCACCTTTTGGGGCTGGCCAAATAACTCAGTGGATTAAAGTGCCTGCTTAGGCAGACACAGTGGCCGGGGGTTCAATCTGGGCCTGTGGGGTGTGCTGAGATGGCAGTTGAGACTGGGTGTGGTGGTGCATGCCTATAATCCCAGCGCTTGGGAGGCTGAACACGGGATCACCAGGAATCCAGTCTATATAGTAAGACCCTATAGACCCTGTACTAAAATACAAAAAAAAAAAAAAAATCATCTTTTGTGCTTTTCAAAATACGGTCCCTGGTAAACGAGTGGGCATACATTGATCATTAATGTATTCTAATTAAGTTAAAATCATTTGCACTGTTTTATATGGAACATGTACCGGGCTGGGGAGATGGCTCAGTGGAATAAGCGCTTCCCTGGCAAACGCAAGGGCCCGAGTTCAATCCCTGGTTCCGCCAAAATAAATAAATAAATATATGGAACATGTAATTTCCTAACTATTGCTTGGGAAAGATAAAGTTATTTAAAGTTTTAAAATGTAGTTTAATTTCTTCCTTTTAATTTCCCTTTTTTTTTTTTTTTTTGAAGGAAGGAAAGATTTATTTTGCTCACAGTTACTGGAGGTTTCAGTCTACACTAAATTAAACTTTTACTTTTTTTTTTTTTTCAGAACCGGGGATTGAACTCAGGCCCTTGCACTTGCCAGGGAAGTGCTTATTCCACTGAGCCATCTCCCTGGCCCTAATTTCCCTTTTTTTTGCAGTACCAGGGATTGAACTCAGGACCCTGCACTTGTCAGGCAGGTGCTTATTCTACTAAGCTATCTCTCCAGCCCTACTAAGCTATCTCCCCAGCCCTTTTTCTTTTAATTTTTGAGACAAAGCCTCGCTTTGTAGTTCAAGCTGGCCGGGAGCTGGCAGTCATCCTGCCTTAGCCCCCCGAGTGCTGCGATCACAGATGTGCACCACTAAGCCTGGCTAAAATGTGGTTTTGCATAAAGTAACATATCAAGTTAATGGCATGAATGTGGCTAGAATTAAGAACATAGTGTGTGAATCGAAGTTTGCGAATCCTAGCATCTAACCCTTTCTAGGGCCCTGAGAGGTGATAATAGCTTGCTGCAGGCCATGGGTATAGTTTGTAATATTGAACTAGGATCATATCCTAGGTCCCTTAATTTTATTTATTTATTTATTTTTGGTCCACTGCTCTTGTCATTTCACTCTAGGTTTGACAAAATTAAAATAGCTTAGGGTATGAAAATTAAAATAGATTTTTTGTATTTCTTTCTAAAAGAAGGACTAAAAAAATTTTGGAAAACTTTGAGTTCAAAGACCTTAGTTGAAGGCCTGGCACTATCACTGATTTGCAGTCTGATTTTAAATAGATACATTCTCAGTTGCACTTGGTCTGAAATAAATGAATCTGTACCTAAGGAAAATGAAATAATCCTGTAGTCTGCTCTGTGTGTGGGTTGAGGTTGGGGAACGCTCATAGAGCTTGTGTTAGAGATAAGTGATCTTTCCTTTATCACGACCTTCCTACCACGTTTGAACTTGTACCTTCTAGAAAATATAATTCAGTAATTTTTAAGTTTGGGGAAGGGAGAACTCATGTTTGTATGGGCGTAGTCTGTATGTTATCCATTCAAATTCTGGTTCATATCTGTTAATTGATACTGAAAAATAAGCTGTAGCTTCTTTAAAACTTTACTTTCCAAGTCAATTGCTCCATTTTTTCCCCCCTCTGGAATTTACTTCTTATAGTCTGTTCAAGAAATACCTATAATTTTAAATTTATTACTGAGATTGGGTTCACTAGCCAGTCCTGGAACTCTGTGTTCGTGTTTGCAGATGTTTGTCTCCCCTTGATCCACCCCGTGGAAACAAATGGTAAAGATGCGTGCATCCTGAAACTTGGAAGGGGTGTCACAAGCCTGGAAAATTCTTTCATATACAGGATGCTGATTGAGATAAAAACCGCAGTGGGAGTCACTAGTTCACAATGTATTCTTGGCTAACAACCTGGTTTTTTTTTTAATATCTTATTAAAGATATCTGTGAATTAAACTCCCATAACATGTGACAGAATTAATCAGTTTATTCAGCAAATAAGGGTGTGCCAGGCCCTGCCCTGGGTCCTGGAAGTATACTAGGAACAAACACCGGGCTAAGTTCTTGTTCTCTCGGGCAGCTCTCATTCCAGCTGGGAGATGCAGACACCAAAAAATAAATATTTGCTGTGTTATCATTTAGTGGGATATGCTAGGAAGCAAAGTGAACGGCATGGGAGACAGAATGGCATGGAGTTCTCTCATAAGGTGATTTTTGAAAGAAGTGAGGGAGAAATAAGTGAAAGTTCGCAGTATAGCAATATAAATTCTAGACTCTAAATTGTGTATCTTTGAAAGTATTTTTAAATCTCATAGGTGTTAACAGTTGAAAGACACTTAAGAAAAATGTACTTCCTTGGTTTTCTATGTGTGAGAAACACACAGGATGCATACCTCATTTTCCCAGTGACTCTCAAGGTTCACACTCGTCACCACCATCTGGCTTATGTCCCTTGAGGCCGGTGGCTTTCCATCTGTCAAGTGACTGGTTTGGTCAGGAAGAACAGCCTTTGGCAGGACAACTGAGTGGAGGGAGACTGAAACCCTGTCCTTGGCTCTGTGAACTGCCTGGCTAAGCTGACAAGCAAAGATACCTGGCTTAAGCTCTAGAATTGTTTTTGTGTTTTGGATTCAAATTATACTTACAATTGAAAATATCTGTTTGAAACTGAAGAGAAATATTCTGATTGCCATTCTTTAAGCTCAGGGCATGTTAGTCTCATCTTTCAAAAAACTGAATTCAAGAATTCAGTTTTTAATAATTTGAGTAATTCTTTTATTTGAGTAGTTTGAGTGTTTCTTTTCTCTTTATTTTATAATACTGGATGAACCCAGGGCTTTCACAGTGAGCTACATTCTCAGTCCTTTTTTGTTGTTTTATTTTGAGACAGATCCTTGCTAAGTTGCTAAGGAACCCAGGCTAGGCTTGAACTTGCTATCCTCCTGCCTCAGCCTCCCAGAGTGCTGAGATTACAGGTGTGTGCTAACATGCTCGGCTTTTCTTTATATTAAAATAAACTTTTGTTTTCTAAGAGGAATGATGCCAATTCAGTCTTCTTTAGTTTTTGAGGTAGCAATACACATATAACAGTTTTGCCAGCAAAAAACAGTATACAATCCATGTAGGACCCAACCTTTTTCCTAATCGTTCTTCTGACATCCTTAGTTTTCCTTCTGTGTTCTAATATAACTGTTGGTCTTTCATTATTTATTTTAAGGTTCTGTAGAGTCTTTGATTATGCTGCTGCTGGTCTTCTTGGCATCATGTATAGAAGACTTGGACAGAGGTAGATGCATAGCTGATAGGCTTCTGTATGGGAATGTTAGCATAATTTGTGGGTCTTATGCTTTATTCTCTTAACGATTCTATTTCTCTGTTCTGATTGTGAGAGAGAAAGAGATACAAACTGACAGTCTCTATGTCTTGGTTGTGAGGGTTGAACCCCGGGCCTCGTGCCTTGCCTGGCAAATGCTCTAGCGCTGAGCTACGTCCCCAGCACTGCTTGGACTGTTGCCATAGTTCAAAGGAGAACATATTTGTTCCCTACCGGCTGTGTCATGTGATAAGGAATCTAAAGTGCCTGGAATTGAAATAACAGGAAAAAGCACTATAGAGCACTAGAAAACTTTGGTCCTATTTACTGAGATATTATGTTAATATAGTTACTGTTTTGCAGAAACTATTAATGGCTGACTTTAAACCTATCTTTTTGCTTAGACTGTAGTTTTGTTAGGACAATTCCAATTTACTTGTTCTGAACTGCTATTCTAGAGGCAAAAAGCATAGCAAGCCACTTTATCCTATATAAAAATTTTGGTGAAAAATGTGTTTACTCATGAAGTAAGCCAGTGAGAATACTAGAATAAAATGTTTATTTTGCCAATCATGCATCCCCACTTTTAATGATTTTGTAGTTTGCATATGTACACTTAAGTTGGCCTACAGTTTTGAAAACAGACCCCTGTTAAATATTGAGAAATGCAGAAAATATCATAGCACAGCACTCCTGTTGTTCCCATAGCTATTTAATTAAGCCTCAGTAATACTGTGTGGAATTAACAGTATTAAAAGTGATGTGCCAAATGTTCTGATTAGTAATAAACTCTACCTCTAATAAATAGCCAAAGTGGATTTTTAGATGCACTGAACTGGATACCTTTATATCTAACTGAGGTCAAGAATACTAACATGCAGTTGTACAGCAAGGTACTATTTATAACAGTGTTGTCCAGAGAATACTGTAGATGACAGGTTGCTATGGAAGGGACTTTTGTTACAATAAAATAAAAAAGATGAAGTCTTTCCTTCAGGGATTCTGTGAGATCCAAAGTAAC